CATCTACCAGGAACAAGCTTCCTAACCAGCCAGGAATGACTGTTAGGTGATGCTATGTGAGATCTTGATTTCAGCAAGATAACACAAGTGACTTTCCAAGTAACAAGTCTGCTCTGAGGAAGTGTACGTGCTCCTCCAGCCACAGCTACTGATCTGTGACTGCAAACTCTCCAAATGCTTTCTCTTGCTCTCTCTTATCATTTCTGCCTTGCTTGCATGCCATTTCCACAGGTCATTCTTCATTTATGAACAGATCTCATTCAAGTACTGGTGGCTTTGGGGGTATCTGCTGGAGGAGATGTAAAAGCTATGTGTCGTTTCTATATTGTGGGAACTTAGGTCCTGGTTTTCCTACTGCTGTTATTTATCGATTGATTATAGGTGTTGAATAAAAGCTGTATGAAAATTTGTGATAAAAACGCAGTTTTCTCATGGTACTTTTGGGTACTCTGCTCCAGAAAGAACTCAGATCATTTCAGACAATCACTCTGAACCATGCCTTTCTTTCTCAGGGAAAGGATCTGAGTGTCTGAGACATCAAATGCTTGAGGCAGCTCCAGGAGTCTGAGAAAGGATGTTTATTGTCTATCCACTGACTACAGGAGATTTTGCATCGACTAAAATGGTTTCACATCCATGTCCTGAATCTAAATATAGGCATTATGATTCTATTATATGAGACTGTACTTATCTTTGGTTATTTTCTTTGTGAGCTTGCTCAGAAATAGAGTGGAGAAGGGCTGACCATAGCCAATAGCAGGCCATTACCCATGCACCTGGGATACTTTGCATGCCCAATTATGCCTTTGAAGAAGAGAGATTTCTCCTATGGTTTCTATGACAGCTATTTTAGTCAAGTGGCACCTGCTTAACATGGTGGAGGAGAAGCAACTGTGGAATTCATTGTTCTTGTCTCATGTCCTCTCCTGAGCATATGAAACTTTGTGCTGGTTGAAAGTACTGGGCCCTGGGAGCCGTGATGGGTTCTGGGTATGGTTGCTACCTTTTCACAGTGCCTTCCATTTCTGGTGCTTGTTCAGTCACAAGATCTATCTGAACAGGACTGATTAAACCATCTGTGAATCACAGGGGGGTTTGGGGTGAGATTTGGCAGCATCAGCAGAGGGAGGTGGGCAGGAAGGTTTTGTGGGAGTGTGGGACAGCCTCAGCTTTTATTTTCTGCCATTTGGCACTCATGTTTCGTGTCTCTGATAGGGGAACACATGCAGTGCCAGAAAGCTATGGAGGCGTATGTAGAAGGTAGGAAGACAGAGCCATATGGCCGTCAGTGTGCTGACTGTCAGAAGTGTCACTGGTAATGTCCCACGAGGCCCACAGGCTTTCTTCTGGGGAAGAGGACACATTCATTTTGGCAACCCTTGGTGCCCATTGAAGTCTTTGTGTTAAAGACAGAGGCCCTGGACTTATTCTTAGTGTCCCAACGGAATGATGATCTGTCAGTGTGATGGTTATGATGTCCATAATTTTGATAGCTGGGCTGGCAAGCAGGATCTGAGCAGGTACATTGGCCAGAGATAATCTGTGACACTCCCAAAGCAGAAAGAGGGAAGAATTTGGCAGCTTTACTTCAGCAGTCTTACTTCAGTGTTGTTAAAACTGGATGAACTGTTTGAATAATTTCATTGTCTTTAAAATCTCAGTGACTTCCTTCATGTACTCTGGAGTGCAAGCGCACAACATATTCCCCCTTCCTCAGCTCCCCAGCTCTGCCCCTGGCTGCCTGTGCCTGGAAAATGCAGCAAGTCCAGGCACTGTCCTCAGACTGCACCCTGTTTATTCATCCATAGAAACACAGCCTTTGGGGAATGGATTAACCAACACATAGCCTGCTTGTATATGACTTTCCTGAGTGTTACTGTTTTCCCTGTGACAAAGAGGATGAGGGGTTCAGATCCAAGACTGTCTTGTGGGTCCTACCAAAACCAAACAGTTTGCAGGCAGGTATGTGTATTCTTGTGGTGTAACAAGAGATAAAGCCTGTTTATTTAATTCAGGCATGCAACTGATATCCAAGACGATGAACAGGAAGGGCATGCATAGCATACATTTACCTGAGAGGTTTGTTTACTTTGGCTGAAGTTATTCAAGCACTTTTTTTTTTTTTTTTTTTTTTTTTTCATAAATAAGCCAATGACTGCTATCCTGATAAACTGGCAATCACAAGTATTGTACAATTTATGTGAAACAAATACAACTATTATTAGAAATAGCAAATATTTGCATATGTATTTGTATTATGGAACACTCAGTGACAGGGAATTTGAGATTTTATAAAGAAAAACATCCCAAAAAAATAAAACAACAACACAGTTGGCTTCTGCACTTTATACACCTGTGCAGCTTTAGATAAGAATTGAATTACTCCAGAGCAGCCTATAATGCTCAGTTTTCAATTTCCTTGTACTGTATGAGATCAATCTGTATTTTCATAGGTGATGTAAATGCTCTGTCCTGGCTTAGTTACATTTTATGCCCATTTGCAGAAGTGTGAATAAAAACCCAGAGCAAAATTTAGGCGTCTGCAGTGCAGCTGTCTAGATTTGAGCTGCTTGCCTAAATTTGGTTTATAGTTAGTGGAGAAAAACAGTCATTTGGAAGACAGGCTTCATTCAAAATACAGTGGCTGAATCCAAACCTACAAACACCTGTTTCTCTACATTGACAGTAAAGGGAGCCTGGCTGATCTTTTTTACATGCAGACACACTGCAGGTAAACAAAAACCAAAGGTGAAAAATCAATATAAGAAATGTGGGAAATCTCTGAAAATCAGGGGTGATCTACAGGTGCCCTCCATGGATCAGGAGAGATTTGTTAGGTGACCACATCATGTCATGAAGATATCAAATCGCATGTCAAAAGCTGTTCCCTTCCTTCTCCCAGTAGTGTTGAAGATTGTTCCTGTGCCCCTCTTTTTTAATGGTTGCCTCCAGAGTGATCATTAGACTCCTGCCTGAGATATGGGTGCTTGGACATTTTTCTGGGTAGCTCTGAATATTTGTGTCCCTGGCTGCTTGGTTCTGTCCTTGTGCCATAATTAATTGAACAAATCCAGGGTGGAAATAATAGAAATAGCCTACAATACAATAAATAAATAAATGTGTGTGTGTGTGAAAGCACCTAACATTTTGTAGTAAGGATCTATAGGTGTGTTCAGCCTGTGTGTGTGCCCATTGGGTGTAAATAAGAACTATGTGAAAAACAGACTGGTTCTGTTCCATTTTCTGTGACTTCTGAAATGTGTTGTGTGATTATTTTTTGTTGTTGTTTTTAATGAGATCTGATGTGCTTAGAAGTTCTCAGAGTAAGAAGTTCTCAGACATTCTCAAAGTTGGCTCAGCTTTGTGGAGCTCACAGGACAAGTTGTGTGATTTTACATGACCCATTTAGTTTTAATAACTTTGCATTCAGACAGCATTCTCACTTGCCAAAATAGAATTTTTCATGAATTACTTAATCAGTAATCAGTACTTACTGACTGGCAGCATCAGTGAAGGCTGATAGGAAGATTTTCTTAGTTTGCAGTGGAGGCCTAATATAATCTTAGAGGGATGCACTATATTTCATCCTATTTTTATCAGATTTCTTGAGACGCTTACTTTTTTTTTTTAATTTTTTTTTTTTTTTTTTTTTTTTTTTTTTTACTGTATTTGCTTGCAGAGACACTTGAACCTTAGAAAGTTTCAGACAAGGTATTTACTCTTCTTTTCTAGCAAGTGGAACAACCGAACAATGCTAGAAACAGAACCACTGCAAACCAGTAAGAGTAGTTTACTAGTCCATTAGTTTATCATTACCAGAAAGCTACCTATATCTTAACTAAACACTAAGTCAGTCTTCCTGAGATAAATGCTGTTTGGAAAGAACCGGGAAGCAGAAACTTAAATGTCTAATTAAATAATTTTCTGTTTGCTTTCTTCATGTCTGTTAGGGTTTTTTTAGGATCACTGCAAAGGACAACGTTTAAAGAGAAGTGTCTGGCTGTAAACATCTGATTATGTTGAGGAGGTCACATAAATGTATTTATCACATAAATGGGGAAATAATGTATTATTCTTGCTTATTGTCTTAAAGTTTTGAGTGTTAATTGTGATGTAGGGTGCTAAGCTGGTTTTCAAGTTATATTCTTCACAAATTGTGTTGCCAATGAGTAAAAATACTAGAAGAAAAGGCATGAATTGCTACTGTCTAACCGCAACAGTCTAGGCGGGCTGCCATAAGAGTATTGAAGATCTATTTCAATAATTAATCTCAGCTACAAATTTATTAGTTTAGCCAGGTCCTCTAGTTGGCAGAATGTCTATCTTAAATTTGCTTTGATGCACACTGTTTGGGCTATTAGCTAAATACATCATTAGGTAGTCTAGGAATTGCTTGTCCATAAGCTAATAAGTTCACTGTCAACTTGTTAATTAGACTAATTTTATTTGGTATTTTCTTAGAAATAGCTTAACCTTTACATGACTTTATAATTTTATTTCATTACAATTACAGATATAACATTGTTTACAATGGTAGTGTATTCAAGTCTCAGAAAACGCTGTAAATGTCTTGCAGGCAGAGTACAAAAAAGGTCTTTTTTTTCTGCAGCTTCAGTGAGATTGAGCATTTTTTTCTCATGGGCATAGAAAAATCATCTTATGTGTTTCTTGTGTGTAGGTCCAGAAAAATGCTGTGAGTTTGTTGTGAGTCTCCTCTGGCTGGTTTTGCAAGGCTGCTGATGTGGTTTTGTCAGGGGACAGACCTGTAGGTGTCCTCTTGCACAGTGCCGGGTGCTCCCTGGTGACCTGTGTACATTTCAGGCAGCTTAATGTGCACACACCCCAGAGCTAAGTACTGTTCTGATATAGAAGTACACCTGGCAAAATCGAAAATCATAAACATTTTCAGCCTCTGTAGCTGATATTCTCACTGAAACCTGTCCCCCTTTACAAGCCAATATCTATAACCTTCCATGGGTGGTCTTTCTGTACTGGACTAACCAATGTACATACTAGATCACACTGGTTTGCCATCGCAATTTCTTTAATTCCCTGACTCCTACTGCCTTTTCAGAACTTTCCAGGCATGTCTGTAAGCAGTCAGAGGCTAAAAGACTGGAGAGACCAGGATAACCAGGACAAAGCCAATTTCTTCTTTTTTTTTTTTTTTTCCCAGGTGTTCATGTCTTGGCATGGAGAGAGCTGTTCTGGTCTGTCACCTCTTCTTCCCTGCACCACCCATCTACTGCTTCCTTCAATAGGTTATTACAAAAGTGATGGAAGATTTTCCCACAAGGAAGCGTTATCCCTGAAGAACAGCTGAACAGTCAGTGCTTATTGGGAATGCTAGGAGAGCTCTTGGACTGAGACTTGAGTGACCACCAAGGTGCAACTGTAGACACAGAGTTCAAAATGCCCTTATGTGGATACATTCAAAAGTCACTTAGTAGACCTAGACCACAGATACACATGCACCTTGTGATTGCTTGGCCTTCCTGAAGGTCTTATATCCCCCCAGGTGTTTGCTACAGTGCTGCTGTGTGGTAGCACTGGCAGATGTGGAGGACAAACATGTTCATGGTTTGGCTGTGGACAGACAAGGACAGAGCCAGGATCACTGCAACCTCGTCCCTGATTCCTGGTCACCAGGAGTGCCCAACCTCCTCAAAGCAACCGCCCACCAACACCTGCCAGCAGATTTGTTGAGGTGAGCCCTCCCACTCTACCACCACCCAAATGGAAAGGGGAAAGCCACTTGGATTTCTCTGTAGCCTTGTTGCCTCTGATAGTGCCACTCTGTCTGTATCTGTCCATCTCTACCAGGAGGAAATATTATCCTTAATAAAACCACAGAAACCTATAGGGCCGTTGAGCAAACCTACAGCATCCCTTGTACAGATGCAGACTCCTCTCTGAAACACCATCAGAGATTTTCTGTTCCAGTCATCTGCCTCACTGTTTCCATTCAACAGCTGCTGTGCTCTTATTCAGCAGGAAAAATCAGGCACATTTAAAAGAAAACAAAAAACAGAACACAATGCAAACAAAGTAAATTAAAGAAAATGTTTTGAAGCATTTCGTTACTCACAAGATGTTGTGAGATGGCCTGGTGTTTAAAATTGCAATATTATTTCTGGCAACTGGTCTCATACAATCCTTTTGTTGATTTTTCCAGCCTCTCAAGAAACTGGAATGAAAATATTTTACTGTTATTACTGTTCCTGGGAACAACTTGTCAACATGGACCCACGTTAATGCAGAAAACTCAAAATATGTGGTATGTGGCTTTGTATTTTTCCTTCATCAAAGAGATTATATGGGGTGAAGGTCTGTTCACATGAAGGCAGTGAGAGATACTGATGCTGTACTTAGCAAAACAAGAGAGGCACTTGCATAAATATGTGTGCATATATGCAAATATCTTTTTACAAATGGCAATACAATAATGAGAATGTTATACTAAGGTAGCTGGCTCATGTGAAAGCTGAGTGGATGCTGTAGGGATGCAAATAATGTGGGAACAAGTACATATACATCACAGCTCTGTAGTGATGGGGGAATCAATGAAGCCTGATTTTCTATGGATTTGTGTCCTGAGGTTACAACCCTATCTGGATTTTCTAATGTCTCATACGAGGATTCTGCACTTTTTACCTCAGTGAAGCATTAACCACAGCTCTTAACTGGTTGCCTACCTTCAGAATACTTTTATGATATAAGAGGGTTTTTTTTGGATTTCTGTACTTCTCTCAAATGTGCTCAATATGGGCCTAAGCATTCAAAGATTCATAGAGGGCTGTCAGATGTACAGAGGCTGTGTCTTAAACCCAGTTTCTGCCAAATCAGGCTAAGCATCCTCACACTTACAGTTATGGAAAAGAAAGAAAGAAACAAACAAAAATAAACAAAATAGAAAACATGATTTTAGACATAAATATGGAATTTAACAGCTCAGGAAGAAAAGATAAATATGCAGATTAACCATCAATCACACAGGAGAGATCTTCCACTGACTTTCAGTGAGAATTTGGCTCCTAACTGCAATCTGTGTCTTTCAAAATTTCCTACACCATCTCTGCAGTAAATGTATGTGAAACTTCTCACATTGGACATTAAAAAATAAATAAATATCATGCATATGCTCAGGTGCCTGGGGGTAAATGAACCTGAATTTTGGTGGCAGCTGTCAGAAAAACTCCCAGCTTCCATGGGTCCATTTATAAGTGGTGTTTTATTGTTGTTTTTTTTTTTTTTTTTTTTTTTTTTTTTTTTTTTTTAATTTAAATTAAAAGGTACTGATTTGTCATTTTGAGATTTGTGTTTTGTTAAATAAAAAAAGAATAAACATTGAACAAACTCCTTTGAGAATCTTATTGGCTTTGGAGTTTAATTTTGTCCTGTAAGAGAAAGAGCAATAGCTCAATGACAACATTGTTTTGACAGAAAAGGCCAGACATGAGAGCTATAAGAGTTTTAATTTCCCCGAGGGGTCATAAGGTCCCCTGCTTCCAAGTATGTTAAAAGACAAATCAAACTGAAGAGTCGAGTCAGGTTCATTAACTCTGACAATCACAATTACCAATGCAAACTCATTGCTCTTTTTATTCATACTAAAACAAAAGTTTGCTGTGTACCAAACAATGCTCTGGGCTGTATTTACATTAGCAATGCCCCTGTCGCCATGGTCCAGAGATTCTTAAAAAGAATGAAACGAATAAAGTAAATGCAAGAAGATATCCCTTTAGGATTGCCAACACCCTGCACCCCAGCCACCCATTCCTGTGGACAGAGCAGTAACTCGTTCCAACCACAGCAGGAACAAACCTCATGGCTCAGGATGCTCTGGAGCTCTCTCATTTTTGAGTGTTGAAGGGCTGCTAGTGGGGAGTATGGCCCAATTCCCTGCGTGATGACTGGCAGGACACAGGCTGAGCTGAAGGTGCCCTGGATTTTGAAGCCTGAATGAGGTGTTGGGGGCAGAGGGGGGCAGAGTTGGAGAGGGTTGGGCGGTGTGGTGAAGATCTTCACAGGCCATCAAGAGAAATCTGGGGGTTGTATAAACGCCTTTCCAACTCTGAGTCATACAAATCATGAAACTACTTGAAATGTTTCACCTACTCATATGTTTCCTTTATCTTTCACCTCTTCCCTCTTTTTTTTTTTTTTTTTTTTTATGGTTATTCTCCTGTTCTGTTGTCTTTCAAGTCACACCCTGTGCTGATCTCCTGCTTCCTCATCCCCCATTCCCATTTTGGTATCTTTCCATTGCTGAACTTATGTTATGATTTGTAGGCCTTTCACATCTCTGAAATGCAGCAAGCAGTGGTTCTGAGCTGAATTCACCAAATTTGCTCTATGTGATAACAGGATACTAAACCAAGTAGATATTTGCTTTCCAAAAACAAACAAACAAAAAAAAAGCACTTTAGAAACTAAATCAAAGACTTCCAAACAAAATGTATACATGACCCACACACATGCCCTTGATGCATATGGTTCTGATAATCAATTGTTGCTATTTATATCCACAGTAAGTTTTCAATACAACCAACATTTAAAACACCACTAAGATCCCACTGATCAGGTGAAAGGGAGCTAACAACTCAAAAGCCTGCAGCAAATTATTCAGAGAGGATTCCTAGCAGCCCTCAGTGATGAACAGCTTGGTTTTGAAGTTGGATGAACCAATGAAGACTTTCCAAAGCAGAAAAGCGTGTTTCAGTGAGAGGTGCCCAGCCTCCCACAGTGCATGCACCACAATGTCGTGCTTGGCTGCCCACCTGCCCACTTGTGTGGTGGATGGAGAGGTGCACACGTGCCTCAGAGGTGCACGTACATGGGTACTACAGCTCACTTGCTCTCCGAAGAGATGGGAAGAAGAAAATGGACTCATTCTCTGCAATGGTAGAAAAGCATTGCCCCCCTCCAGCAGGAGCGACCTCCTAGGGAAGAGGAAGTGATGCTTGGCTGGTTGTACAGAGGGTGTTGTTGCTTTGGAAAAATTTGCTTTCTTTTGAATGGCTCCTGCCAGGTCAGGGAGAGCAAATATTCAGAAGACACTGCTGCAAGCAGCTGGCTCAGGATTGCTGTCTGTTGTGTATGTTGTGTGGCTCCCTCGCATCCGGCCCCTGTGCCCCGATACTCCCCAGCTCTGCTCCTGCACTGTCTGCACGGCTGTAGGCAAAACCAAAGTGGCACCTACTGCTTGTTGTGATGGGGTCAGGAACTCACTACACTTAAAGTCCAAAATAAGTGTTTATTATGTCTCATTACAACTTGATTATACATTATTCTTTTTGTTATTAACCACTCAAAAAAAAAATGATACTAAACACACATAGGCATGAAACGACTTGTATTGTTTTCACTGCATTTCTTTTGATTGTGCTAGACCATGAAAGAAAAACAAACAACCAAAAAAAGCAGACACTCCCAGGCCCCACATCTGTTAAGCTTCAGTAGATTTGCTTAGGTCTCCAGAGTCCATCCTGTATTGGTTTAAACATACATGTTCCTAAATTTATATGAAGTCTCTTGCAAGTGAGAGAACAAAACCCTATTCAGGCTCTACTTTGGAAGGTATATCCAAACCTAGACTTCTGCAGAGCTTGTCTCTGGATTTTGGTTTATATCAGACCAAATTAAGTGTTTAAACTTTCTGGAGAACTGGAATTTACTGAGTGCCTGCAGATGGAACTGAAATCCCTTTTGTGTTACTGCTGATGCCTGCAAGGGGCAGGAAATCCGTAGTCAGGCCCAGGCCAAGCCCACCGAGGATACAGACCAGTTCCCCCAGTGCCCTGCTCTGGATGCAGGGAAAGTTCACTGAAATCAAGGTTCTTTGAACACAATATTTTGGATACAACATACTGTCTTTTTTTTTTTTTTTTTTAATGAAAATGGTTTGTCAAATACTTTGTGACCAGATCTAGTTTTGATCTCCCCTCCCCCTTTCCTGTAAGGAAAAAGAACAGGTATCAGGCTCATTCTGCAAGCTAAATCTTCTATGACATAAGAAAAAAAGTGATGTAAGGTTTAATTTTAGACAATTCTTATTGTGATCTTCCAAAAAAAATGGAATAATCCAAGCTAGAAATAGAAAGGTCTAACTACTATCTAGTCCACTTTCATTACAATTATTAGTCCAAATAATGTTACCCAGTAGATTATTGTTTTAAAATGTGCTGCAGAGCATATGTATTTCTATTCAGACACTGTAGTCAATGTACATTTACCTTGCTTGGTTTTAAAACAAGTAAAACAACAAATTCTGAGCATTGGCATAATTTATCCTTTCTTTGCATAAACAAATTACTTCTGGTTATACCTCAGTCTGTCACATTAAGTCACACTTCACTGAGTTATCTTATTGCTGTTTGCATTATAGCAGTGCCTAAAGACCTGGACAAAGACCGTGGGCCTTTTGTGAAGCCTACACGCGAAGGATGCATTATTCTTTTGGGTGCAGATACACCTCTCCTTGTAATTACATCCTGAGCTGTGACAAAGTGGCTGCCAGGCAACACAGCTGTCAAAAACACATTGCAGGGCAGTTGGAGAGCACAAGTCAGATGAAATAATAGAAGTGTTTGGGACACGAGCAGTTGCATAGAACAGCCAGTGCTCTTCATGTTCCTCCTATTTGATTACACAGCACAGCCTTGGCTACGTGTTTATGGCATAATCCCACTTGCCCTTTCAAAAGGGCTGGAGCTGATATTTCAAACTGGGGCTCACAAATCTCCCTGCTGTTTTGGGGTAGAGGAATGTACAGGGCACTTGACCCAAGTTAGGACTGTCACTGCAGAGCGCATTTCTGCCCCTTTTCTGTCTTTTGTGTCAGCTATAGGTCTTGTGTGATGGGCCGCATCAGCCAGCTAAAATAGCTGAACATTTTTTACAGTTACCTTTCAGGTGGATTGGTTCTGATTTGGCTCATGTCATGGCCAGCGACTGTTGGTACTAGCAGGAAGGAGGTGGCAGCAGAATGTGGCTGGACAAAACCACCCCTTTTCAGGAGTACGCGGCTCAGCCTGCTTTGCACTGCTCATGAAGTCGCATGCAGAGGATGCAGATGAGCTGATTTAATGATGGATGGCTGCAGAAAGGAGTAATTCTGCTTTCCCTCGCTTCCAGGTTTCTGCCTGCCCCGATCCTGCAGCTGTGTGGTCACAAGGTGGATCAATTCAGCTCTCTGGCCAATGGAAAACTCATTATTCCCTGAAGTGTAATTTTTCCACCAGACTGACCAGCTGACTGGAGTCAGACGGGTACCAGATCCAGTGTAAGGGTTGTGAGGGGAGTACCTGTCCAGTGGCTGCAGGCAGGACCACCTTTTCCCAGCAACCTGCCGTCAACCCAATGCCACACTGGTGCTGGAAGCGGCTGTTATGCACCTCTGCACCCTGACATGGGCTGTGCACATCTGCACATCTCCTACTACCTCTGTGATCCCAGCTGAGTTGGTTTAAGAAGCACGAGTGAGGAAAAAACTATTTTATTTTTTGTAAGGTTAGTTTTGTGGTTAAGACAGCTCCTTGTTGGGCTGGCTGAGTGGTGGAGCTGGTCCCTGAGAGATCTGGACCTCACAGGTGGGACAGGGGGACAGCGTTTTGCAATGTCTCCGTGAGAGTGGCTTGACTATAATGCCATTTATTGAGACTTTTAGGCACAGGTGAATTCAACCTGGAAGAGCAGGTCAGCGTTTTTTGTAGCTCGGAGGCAGAAGATGTGTGCAAGCGGAGCCCCACCTTACACCGAGTGCTCTGAAGGACACAGACAAGAAGAGTCTGGCAGCAAGGGAGCGACACCTGCACCACTGCGAGGGCTCAGGCAGGGGTGAAACACAGCGCCAGCAATTCAAGGCACGGGGTTCCCGACGCCTGCCTCCTCCCTGCACCAGGAGCGAACGGGATCGGCTTCTGGCACCGAAGGCTCCCTCCTCAGCTCTTCCAGGGATTACCTGAAGGTACTGCAAGCCAGCCGCCCCCCGGGACAGAGCAGAGGCGAAGGGACGGCCACCTCGGGTCCCCCGGCAGGACGTCAGGGCACCCCCCGGCCCCTCGCAGCCCACCTCCGACCCCAGCCGGTCCCCAGCCGGCGCCGGACCTGAGCGCAAAGGAGTTAACAGGACTTTCTGCCTCTTCCCGCCCGCTCCTCCTCCTCCTCCTCCCCATTACCTGCACTTTATCACCGCCGGAGCCGCGGCGCGGGGCGGGGGCGGTGAAGGTGGAGGGGGGCCGGCGGCTCCCCCAGCTCCTGCCGGGGCTTTGCCGCCCGGCCGGCGGGGCCGAGGCGTGCGGGGGCCGCGGGGCTCCGCGCTCGGCTCCGCTCCGCTCCGCTCGGTGGGCGGGGGGCAGGCGGAGCGGGGCTGCGCGCCGTGAGCCCGGCCGGGATGCGGCATGGCTGGGGGCTCCGTGAGGATGCCGCCGCCTCCGCCGTGTGAGGCTGCGGAGCCGGCCCGCGGCTGGAGGAGCCCCGGCGGGGGAGCCCCCGACCCGTCGCCGCCGCCGCCGCCCGTGCAGCTGCGGCAGAAGCTGCGGGAGCTGCCGGCGCTGCTGCGGAGCGGGCTGACGCTGCGCAGGAAGAGCGCGGCCGCCGCCGGCCACCGGGTGAGCTGCCGAGGGAGGATGGAGGGAGGGATGCAGGGAGAGAGGGAGGGATGCAGGGAGCCCGCGGGGTGCGCCCCCGCCGCGGCCTGCCCACCGGGGCCGGCCCGTGGGGCCCGGGGCGGTGCCGTGCCCGTGGGGCCCCGGCGGAGACGCGGGGATGCGGCGGGGGAGCCCCGCGGGGGGATGCGGGGGGTCCCCGGGCGGCGGTGGCGGCCCCCTGCCGATAAACCAAATAGCGCCCGGCGCTGCCCCCCGCCGTCGTGCTCGTCCCTCCTTCCCCTCCCGGCCTGGCAGGACTCGCGTGGGCCGGGCACGTGTGGGAGCCTCGGGGCCGAGGTCGTGGCCTCGAGCGCTCGAAGCTCGGGTGGGTTCTGGGCCCCCGCTGGCTGTGAGTGGGGTCGTTGGGTTGGGGATGCTAGGTGTGGGCTCCCTCGGTTTGGGGAAGGCTGATGGAGCGGTTTTACCAGGCTGTAAAACCTCCCCGCTTGTGCTTGGGGATGTACTGGGTGGGACTGGCGTCAAGTCACCGCGAAACTTACACAAACCTGGCCTCAACCCCACCGTCTGGTAGCCGAACTGAAGGGGTTGGCGTCATCCCCACAGCCTTGGCTTTATCTGTGTGGGGAACCAGGTGAGATGCCGTGGGGCTGTGGTGCACCGGCAGCCACCTGTGTAGGCAGTGGGGAGAAGCCTTTACGATGTGTGTCTGCGCCCGAATCAACATTGCAGCACTCTGCCCGAGTAAATAAACGCTTTCTCTGCACGGGGAAGTTGTTGTGAAATCGAGTAGGGTGTGAATTCAAAATGCAACTTGCTATGTGACTGCTTTGTTGTAAGAAGATATATGTGGAGGGAAGATAAATGGGATTAAGATAGTACGTATATTTACAGGAAAAGAGCTATTTCTGAACAATGTTTTGTTTCAGAGCCTTCTTCTAGAGTAAGTTTCTTTCTGAGGTGAGTTTAACCCACAGAATAAAGACTAGTCTGTATGGAGATGACTGATGATTTTTATTGTTCGGGTTAAATTGTAATCCACTTGGCAAGTGTCCATCCAAACACAGGGCTAAGGAGATTCAGTGAATGTTAAATGGCCAAGTCCTTTCTGCCCTAACAGGAAGTTTACTACAGGTGTCTGTCTTCCAGGGAAGATGAGACCTTTTCTGAATTCTGCATTGAGCTTAATTTATTCTAAAGCACCCCAGGAGAGCAGTGGAGTGAGCCCCCCTGTGAGGAGGAAAGAAGCGGTGCCCAGCAGCTGCTGGTCCCTGTGCTGGTTTGGAGCAGGTCTGAAACACTGTTTCAGCACAAGGGATTTGTGCCTTTTCAGGGAGATGCCGTGCAGAGCAGGCCCAGGCTGATCATCGTGGTTACTCTTCACTGCTACCGAAAGCATTCGATAAGTGATCACTGTGAGCATTTGCTCTGTAAATATTTGGAACTGGGTGAGCTAACACCTCTGTGAGAAGCCTGCATGGCTCCTGGGTTGTGCAGTTCTTCAGTCGTCCTTGATGAAGCCTTGGTCCTGTCTTGCTTCCTAACAGCTGAGGGTCAGCCCGTCTGTGCTGATGTGCCCCGTTACAGGCTGCCAAATTTACTAGTGGTACCATCCTTGGCTTTGTTTCACCCAGAGGCTCACCTTGCAAAGTTTTTCTTTGCCTATCTATCCTGACAGGAGGATAACTGGAGAGAGTGTGGTGAGTTTGTGAGTTTGGCTGGAGTCATTCCAGGAGATCTTGGATCAGTTGGCAATGCTGCATGGAAATCCTGCGTGGCTCCAGCAGGACCTTCTGGCTGGTGGCTTAGTGCCATGTGGAGGACATGACTGCTGTGCTCTGCCAGCTCTGGGCTTGCAGGGATTCTCCTGCCTCTCCCCAGGACTCAGCTGGAATTATTCAGTGATGCAGGGCTCTAGTGGGGTGTCATGGGATGCAGGCAGGGCTGACAGCCCAGTAGGGAATGTCAGTGTCGCTTGTTCCCTTCTGAAACAGGGTGGATGTTTGGGGTGCACGCAGGATCTCTTCCACACATGTGATTCCCCAGGGAGAAGTCTGGCTCCTTTATTAGTGCCCGTATTGGTTCCTGCCTACTTCATTCTCCACGTGCACTTTCCCCCCAGAGATGAAATTTTAGGGGGATGGCACTTTCCATATATTTCCACTTCATTTAGAGAATAACTTCAACCCTGAAAATGTCAATATTTGGGACAGGGAATAGATATGTTAAATTAATAAAATAAAGCTTTTTTTTTTTTTTTTTTTTAATTAGTCTCTTCCTTTTAAACCTGACTCTCAAATTGGAAAAGCCTTAAAATAAGGTTGGAAAAGGGTTGAATAAAACAAATACGAAATAAAGATTTATTAATTCCACCTCAGCAAAGTGTTTCAGGTTAATCCAAAGTTCATTTTGGAGGGTTTTCATTTGCTTGTTTATGAAATATCCATTTTTACCTCCCCCCCCCAATTTTTTTTTTTGTCTGATCTTAGTCTCTGGTGACTTTTTCTTTGTGCTTTTTTTTTTTTATTATTTTTTCCTTTTTCTTTTTTCTTTTTTTCCTTTTTTTTTTTTTTTTTGTTTGCTAAGCCACCAAGCTGAGAGTCTTATTTGTCCAGCTGGATTCATCAGGAATGTTGCTCACTTAGGTGAGCTGTTTTCAAATAAATGCTGACCAGCTGAAATTCTGGTTTGTTTAATTTCCTAGAAAAATATTATGACCCCTGAAGAGGGGGGGTCTCTCTCTGATGCTGACTTGCTGAGGGACCGCCTGCAGTGCAGTTTGCTTCCTCATCTATAACACACGGATAATCTGCATGCATGCATGCTTGGAGGTTATGGATAATAAAGTATAATGGAAGTGTTAAGGGTGCTATAATTATTTTAAGGATGTACTTCACTGCATGCTGTTAGAATACTTCCCGTGGTGCAGGGGAGGAGAGAGCACTGAGTAGTATACAAAAAATGGAATAAATTTTGCAAACCAGTATGGGGTGGAATAATATTTTTTAAATCTGTTTAGGCCTCTCAGTCCTTGGTACTAGGCTGTTTGACAACTTGTGACCAGAGATGGGGATAATTGAACAATGTGGAATAAAATAGAGATAAAACAAAGCAGGCATTCTTCTCTCAGTTCAGTGAACCCCAAAACCAAAGTACAGAAGGGCATTTTTGCCTTTCTATGTCAGCATGTGTCTGATTTTAGTACACTTGAAGAACTTTGAGGTGGAAAAACACCTTGTAGAAAAGCTGCAGTACCCATCTTGCTTGCACTTTCCCATGTAAATGGGAAATGTGCACCCAGGTAAATGCCAATACTCTCTTGTACCCTAGTCAATTAGATAAAGCTAACCTTGAATCCCTCTGCTGGGGATGCCCAATGGTTTTTTTTTAAAGCTCCTGAACTTTGCAGTGGATGTTGGCGTTGTCCTTGACTGTGGATGTTCTTAAATTAGGTCTAAGGGCAGGTCTAGTACAAATGTCTGAGATGGCATTGGACGTTTGGTTGCAGTCTCACAGTGAGCTTGAGAGAGGGGTGGGTTTTACTCCTCTCCCTCTGCTTGGTGCTTTGTTGTTTCTGCTGGATAAAATAGCAGAAAATCATCCAGTCTTTTGCTGTGTTAGTTTTATTCCTACATACATACATATATATATATTTATTTTTGTATATTTTTTTTGGTGGGGTGGGTGGATTCAGCTGGGTTCCTTGCCTAGTAGACATATTGCAACCCACCAGAGCTTGTGCAGAGGCAGAGGAGGGATGTGTTATGTTGGCTCAATGTGTTCTGTGGAGCTGTTTCCCTCTGCCACATGCTTTCTGAAAATCTTTGGTAAGTAGGAGCCTTCTGTTTTTCTAGTTTGCCTCCTTGAAGCATGTATTGAGTGTACAAGCAGTAAACATGAGTACACAAGTCATGAACTGGCCTTGCTGTCCTTTCTGGCACTCAGAAGTCAGAGGGACAGTTATCTTGCACACACACACAGACACATACACATTTAAAATGACCTCTTCTGCTTTCTAGGTTTACTCTCACACCCAACCAAAACAGTGCTGTTATACCTGAGTGTGGATGTTGCTTTTTGTCACAGTAGTGTTGCTGGAAAACCTTCTGTACATTATGGTGCTACTCTGATACGGTGTTTCTCTGATACTGTGAAATTTTCACCATGGGCCATCCTGTGTGACTTGCTTGAAACTGAAGAAACACCATGACTATTTTCTCTTCTGAGATCCTGTAATGACTTATGTGAGGTTCCCAGAGGTCTTCAGCCAGGCATATGTTCTCAGATGACCTTCACACTAAGAGACCCTAGCTCTGTTCTGGGCGACAGCTTTGCCCTGTGTGTATATCAACATGTAAACCGGATGTAAGGCTACAGATTGAAAATGAACTAAGGAGTTAGGATATGAAAGCTAAGAGTTTACAAGAGTTCAGGGGAGACTAGGGAAGCTCATCGAAATTTACTGAACATAAATAATCCTCATCAAGCACAGAAAGTTCCCAAGCTGAAAATAGTTGGAGGGTTGGAGGGTATTAGAGAGATCTGTCATATATTCTGGCACTGGCAGCTGTCGTGCTATTGCAGAGAACTCTTCTTTGGCAGGGAAAAACATCAAATTATATGCAATCTGTTTTAATTAAAAGAAGTATCCTAACCCCTCTTAGCCTACATTTTTGTAAACTTTTATTTGTCTCTTGTAAGAAGCTTTCAGTTGGTTACCTCATTCAAGTTATTTTCCTTGAATCAGTTCATGCTGCAATTGGGGAAACTATAATGTTGTAAATGAGGTTTTGCAAGGACATTAGAAATTCCCTGCTGGAAATATTCAGAATTTCCAGTACTTCTTTTCATGGCTACATTGTACTGGTAGTTCATAGTTACCCTTTGATTGAGAAAAGCATATAGATCTGACTTGTATTCAGTTAATCTCTCACCAATGACTGACATTTATAGCAGTTCATATTCTTCTTCTTTGACGCTCTTCATCTTGTTATTGACAGTGA